TTGTTGTGTAACGAACATTAGATTTGAAAAACTAATCCTGCGTGTCACCAGTATATTTAAAGTATTGGAAATTATGATATTTACCTTGTGCCCAAAAATTTTAAATGAGCTAGTATGATAGTTTTAGTGAGTTTCGCAAGTATCTTTGCTTCTAAATGTTTTCATTGAATGTGACCGTTTTGTAGAACGTCCCATTGTAGTAGTGTGTTCTTGATTGACTTGTTGGAATCATGTTCTTCATGGACTTGTTGGAATTTGATTGATCAAAGGTGTTTGATTGACAAAGAGATTATAAGTGGTGGAGAGACCTTGCTTTCGCGATCATTTAGACAGTAAAGTCCAAAAGGGACAGACGAATTTGAATTATGTTTCACCGTCTTTGTAGTCTCTCGTTCCATTTGAATTTCGGGTGGTGACGGAGCCGAAAGTGAAACAAGAATTGCTCGTATTTAGTCAGTTTGATTTTCTTTCTTTTGGTTCAAATGATTATTAGACCTTCCATGGGACGATCGACGAAAGAAGCTGATATCTGCCTCAAGTGTTTGATGCTTCCCCTGCAAAACTATGTATAACGTTTCTGGTATTTGAAACAACATTCAGGGTCGAGGGCCTTTCATTATATTTTGGAATAAAGTTTGGGTCTTCAAGCGCGATCGCCAACAACCTAGAGACTGCCCATACTTTTTAGCTTGCTGTTTTATTTTTTCCATGAATGATGAATCCAACACCAATTCTTGTCTTTCTTAGGGATGAGAAAGGGTTATATTATGCCTTGGATCTTGGTGGCACAAATTTCCGCGTCCTCCGTGTACATCTAGGCGGAAAGGAGAAAGGCATCATCAAACGAGAATTTGAAGAAGTTTCGATACCACCTCATTTGATGACCGGAAGTTCGAATGTGAGTCTCTGTCCATCTGTATAATTGCTAATTAGTGTTCCTGTACTAATATTAGTTCTATGCCCTAAGGCTTTTCTTTTATTTCCAATTGTTTATAGGAATTGTTCGATTTCATCGCCACGGCATTAGCAAAATTTGTTGCCACAGAAGGTGAAGATTCACATCCTTTCCCTGGTAGACAAAGGGAGCTTGGTTTTACCTTCTCGTTTCCGGTTAGGCAATCATCAATCGCATCCGGGACTCTAATTAAATGGACAAAAGGATTCTCAATAGAAGATGCGGTGATAATAACTGTCTTACTTGTCTTTTACAGCCTGTTACATTCATCCCATGACTGTCTTGTGATTAACTGCTGTTATGCCTATCTCTTTCATCCTGATTGCAGATCCATCCACCTCCACCCACTTATGCATGTGGATCCACTTTTGAATGGAACTCATTTTAAGCTTGTTTGTAAATTTTTCTCTTTCAAGAGATGACAGTTCAACCTCGTTTATACTAGAGACTGTTCACCAGGACAGAAAAAGGAAGTTACGCGAGCTAATAGCTAAAACATGCCATTCTTATCTCAGTTGAATGAGTTTGAGGACATGAGAATATGCCACTTGAAGTTCATTTGTGAATTGTCCAGTTGCTTACAATAAGAATTCAAGTCTTCAATCTGCATCACAGTGAGATACGAGAATCTCTCTTTGTATGGGTTATTTATATGTCTCCTTTGGATCTTGCTTATATTGCCAAATGGGTGGGCGAACTGGAGATTGTCGAGAAATGACTTGTAGTGCACTGTACGATTGTGGGTATTGTGGAGTTCAACTCTAAACTTGCCTTTGGCTATGACAAGAAAAATTTAGAAAAGCAAGCATAACAAAGATTTGTGCAAGTTCACTTGTAGAAGTGATCTATTATCCTGGCAGCATGAATGGAAGAATAAGTCTGTCATATCATCTGATTTTCCGACATTCTCATGTGTGTACCTATACAAACTCTGATGTCTATCATCTGACCCATGGTATTCTCTTTCCCTTATGGATATTTGAGTAGGTTGGAGAAGATGTCGTCAGTGAATTGAGTAAAGCTATGGAGAGAGTGGGCCTTGACATGCGTGTGGCTGCTTTGGTAAGTGTAGTTTATTCTTTACTGTTTAGCTTAAAACAAGAGATCTTTTAAGATTTTTATGTGTTCTACTTGGTGAATTTCTTCTGCATCAATCTGGACTAGGCACCATTATATGGAAAAAAGGAAGAAGAATTAGGTGTTACTAATGTGTGCTTAGCACTTTCTGTCAACTGGTTTTGAGTTTCATAGTCAGGATTCCTTGACTTGCTTAGTTGATGTAGGTTAATGATACAATTGGAACATTGGCTGGAGGTAGATATTACAACCCAGATGTTGTTGCTGCTGTCATATTGGGTACTGGAACAAATGCTGCTTATGTTGAGCGGATACATGCCATTCCCAAGTGGCACGGTCCTCTGCCTAAATCAGGAGAAATGGTAAGTTCTTTTCCTCCTTAATTCTTTTATCCATTGTCACGAGGATCACTTTAACATTTTGTGAGATGAGGCTTATTGGATAACAGTAACTAGTAAACTAATAGATTTAGTTAAGTCAAAATTTCACATGATATATCAAGTTAGGAATAAGTTCAATGAAAAAAAAATTATTGATAAATGTCCAAATCTTCTCCATTATGTTGCTATTGCCTCGAAAATGTTCACCTTCCATGTTTGTTAATAAACTAACAGTGTTCAGTGCTCACCTGTCAGGCATTATCAAATTGCTTTTCAATCTTCAGCATTCAAAGTCACCGGTACTTAAATTTTGAGTCCTTTTTTTCTCTGTCACCAAACAAAGCCTACTTCATCTCATGATGTTGCGTAGACTGTTCTATCCCCTTGTTGCGAATCGAAGTTAAAATGATCCAGTACTGTTACTGTGGTCTTCTGTAATCAACTTATCAAACTTGATTTCATCTCATTTCTGGATTGTCATGTTATACTGCTGGATTTATTTATTCACTTCTTTTTCAAAATTAAATGCTTTGTTTGAAAGAAAGTGGACTGAACTTACCGAATATGGCAAATGTATGGTGGGTGATCAAACATCTTTGTCCTTGTAGGTTATCAACACAGAATGGGGAAATTTCCAGTCGTCACACCTTCCACTGACAGAATATGATCAAACCCTGGATGATGAGAGTTTGAATCCGGGAGAGCAGGTGGCTTCACTTCTTTTTCTATTTCAACGTGCCTCATGAATGTATAGTTTAAGAAAGATGTATAACTTCATTTTGTTGTTATCGGTAGACTTATGAGAAGCTGATTTCTGGCATGTATCTTGGAGAAATTGTCCGGATAGTTTTGTTGAGAATGGCTGAGGAATCAGCACTTTTTGGTGATATCGTTCCACCGAAGCTAAAAATTCCTTTTATATTAAGGTACAATTATAAATTTAATCCTCGCTGCTTCTTCATGTGGACACAAGATGGTTCAGTTTCCTTAAACTTATGTACCAAATTTGCAGGACTCCTGACATGTCTGCCATGCATCACGACACGTCTTCTGATCTTACAGTGGTGGGGAAAAAACTGAGCGATATCTTGGAGGTATCAGCCTAGCTGCAGCTTAATATCATACCTGTGGTGTCTCTAATGGCACCGCTTTTTCACTTCCGTTCTGTCTAGTACTAATGAAAGGGTAATCTCTAATTATATCAATTGTGAAGTAAATACTACTTTCACAGCGTGGATTGATTGTGATGTTTGGATATTCAGGGAGTTAAAATCCAAATCTAATGGTCCATGTTTCTGGACCAATGACGGATAGTTTTCTCTTGTGTGCAATTATCTACAGCTGAATCCGCAATTCCCCTTTTAATGCTTCACTTTCCTAAATTCAGTTCCCCACTTTTGGAATTGCTGAGTCCCCCTATAGTTAACGCTGATTTGTCCATCCTCAGATATCCGACACCTCCTTGAGAATGAGGAGAGTTGTAGTTGATCTATGCAACATAGTCACCACACGAGGTGCTCGTCTTGCTGCTGTCGGGATATTCAGCATCCTGAAGAAGCTGGGAAGAGATACCCTTTGGGATGGGGAGAAGCAGAGATCAGTTATAGCATTGGATGGAGGTCTGTTTGAGCACTACACCAAATTCCGGAACTGCGTGGAGGCCACTCTCAGAGAGTTGCTGGGACCTGAAGTAGCTGAGAACACAGTGATTGTGCTTTCAAATGATGGCTCAGGCATTGGAGCTGCCCTTCTGGCGGCCTCTCATTCATAATACCTCGAGACGGAGTGAACCTGAAGTATCTCGGTTTGACATGAGAATCTCAGTTTTCCAAATTTTGTATGCTTCCGCACCCTTTTCTCAGGATATCATTTGGGCCTCTTTGAGGTCTTGTTGTATCGTACTTCGAGGTGGGGTGCCAGTAATAGTCTAGCGAGCAAAGAATCGAGTAACTTTAGTCTAGATAGCTCAAGTATCCGATGAAGAAGAGATGCAAATTTAATAAGTTCTGAATAAATGAAGGATCAGGCTCCCATTAGGACACTCTTTAGAAAGCTCCTTTTTAGCCCTTATATTACTCCCAATAAAGCAGGAACTATCTTAGCTGAAACTCTCGAGGATTTCTATTTTGTGGATGTTTCATTAGAATTGATCAATAATAGATTGTTCAAGGAGATATTGTCTTGTATCTCAGAGGCCATAATGGTGAGTCGGCAAGACATTGTTACAAAGTGCCTGCATTTCAGTTTACTGAGGGAAATTCTAAAAAATTCCGATAGTTGCTAAATCATTTCGAAGTTACCGATCGCCTTAGTACTGATCCGTTATTTTGCATTATTCATGTCACAAGTTGGACAGAAGTTGCTGTAAAAAGTTTTGTGCATTCGTGAGATGATGTTGTACTATTCTTAAAACTCAATCGTATCAAGTAAACGGGTCTCATTTCTTGGTTCCTTTCGTGTCAGCATCATATAATAGGCTTAATAGCAAATGCGGCAAAAGATCAGACGTTTCACAGTGATATTCACGGTACAGCAACGTCTTTCGTTGCTGATGTGACTATCTTCTTTGAAGTCTTAAGTAGCAGGAGTGCTCTTCATCTTCGATCTTTTATTGCCTAAATATAGGTTTGCTCACAAAGTGCACAACCTTGTTCTCTATCTATCTAGCTCAAATTTACATATCCATCTCTCTTGTATTCTGTATATTCTATCGTACACATTCAGAAACTAATACACAGTTAGACAAAACGTTTGATGCTTATCTTTATTTAGAATAAGTTGAGGAAGTTTCACAGAAATTGGCAGTCCAAATCCCTTCACCCGGCTTCTGCAACTGTTCTGGTGCTAAAAGTCAGTAAGTGTTGCACTCGAGAACATGATAATCGCTGCGTGGCATTTCCTTGTACTTGGAATTTCCGAGGAGGGGAATGACATCGAACTCGTGTCGGGATTTCTTCTCGACATTGTAAAGCTGATCACTGCATTTGAGCAGCAATTGCAGTACCTCCTTCATTGTGGGCCTTGTGGAAGGCAGAGTAGCAGTGCAAAAGATCCCGAGCTTAAAGACATTGCTAATTTCATCTAGGTACGAGTTGTCCTTGATCTCCTCATCTATCGCATCAGATATCGGCTTGCCATCTTGGACGTGACGCCGTGCCCAATCAGCGAGGCACATGTCTTTGGTCCCATCGTTAGCCTCCCTCCCGGTGGTCAGTTCCAAGAGAACGACTCCAAAACTATAAACATCGATCTTCCCATTAACTCTTGCTGTATGAGCATACTCTGTTATTCAACAAAGAAAAGGCAAGACATAACTAAATATTCTTGCTGGTAAGATATGAGGAAGGTGAACTTGCATAGCTGAAATGAACTCGTGTTAAGTGAATAGACAAACCTGGTGCAAGATAGCCGAAGGAACCGGCAACAGTAGTCATCGTAACGGCTTCTCCGTGCTTGGCCAACATCCTTGCAAGGCCAAAGTCAGCAATTTTTGCATTGAACTTCGAGTCTAAGAGAATGTTGCTCGATTTCACGTCTCGGTGGATGATGGGTGGTGAACAATCATTGTGCATATAGCAAAGTCCTTGAGCGGCTCCTAGCGCAATCTGTAACCTTTTGGGCCAAACCAAGAACATATTGTTGGCTACACCTGAGACGGGTGACGATCTTTTGGTCTTGTGAAGCCAATGGTCCAAGCTGTGATTTTCCATGTACTCGTACACTATGAGTTTCGAGTTCTCACAAGAAATACAGCACAGCAATTTGATAATGTTCAGATGCCTTATGTTGCCAAGTATCTCCACTTCTGCTAAGAATTGCTTCTCCAGCTTCTCGTCCAATTTTCGGTTATTTGAAATCCTTTTTACTGCGACGGTCTCACCTGAACGATTCACGATAATTCTGTATACTTTCCCTGATCCGCCACTTCCGATCACATTATGCTCCTTCAATCCCGACAGAACATTCGATTCTGTAAAATTCAAACTTTGGAATGGGGTCAATTTCGGAGTTGAATCAGATCTGTCTCTCTTCTTTCTGGAACCTCTGATTGTGAATACCACCGCCAACAAAATGAACATCGCCGCTGTGATGGCCAAGATCACAATCAAGGCGAGATTGGTCGGCAAGCCTTTGCTCGATCTAGGGGATTGGGAATTGCAGACATTGAGCCTCATGAACGAATTGGATGCACAGAGGCCCGGGTTGCCCAGGAAACTGGCGTCATACGCGGGGTTCTCTAACTCGTCTGGGATTTGTCCACTGAGGCGATTGGAGGATAAATTGAGAAGGGTCAGCTTCAGCTGGCCGATTTCAGGAGGAATCAAGCCGGACAGTTGGTTTTCAGACAGGTCCAACTGCGTGAGTACTGGTAGAAGACCGATTTTGCTAGGAATCGGTCCCGACAATTGATTGTGACTTAGATTCAGAGTGTTCAAGGAGTTCCACGAAACAATAGCTGTGGGAAGATTCCCGGAGAGCTCGTTCTGACCTAGCAAAAGCGACGTCAGAGAAGGAAGCTCGGTTAATTCAGTCGGAACGGTGCCACTGAGGAGGTTATGACTGGCATCAAACATAACCAAGTTCCTCCACGAAGACACAGTGCTCGAAATCTTGCCAGAGAATCTGTTGTTGCTCATCTCGATCCGACCGAGGTTTGGGGACAGCTTCTCGGGAAGCTCACCGGTTAATCCATTATTATTCAAGATCAAAGTCGTCAAGTTCGGCGACGTCCAGAGTCCACCAGGCACATTGCCAGTGAATCCGTTGTTGTTCAATCTCACGATGGACAAAGTACTGCAATTTCCTAGTGACTCTGGCAACTCCCCGCTGAGATTGTTGTCCAGTGTCGCCAACCCGTACAGCATGCCGCCATGGCACAGTTGTTCCGGCAATGTGCCAGTCAAGTTGTTGAAGGCCACTTCGAATCTTCTGAGTGCGGAAAACTTGCCAAAATCTGGGGGGATCGTGCCTGATAAATTGTTGTTGGACAGCCTGACATCAGACAAAGCGGGAAGATGACTGATACCTTCCGGGATTTCACCGGACAATTGATTGAACTCTAAATTCAAGCTGGATAGATTCTCGAGCTTCCCAAAATCTTCAGGTATGTTCCCCGTCAAATTATTAGCAGACAGATCGATCACGCTCAGGTTCATGGAGCTCACTACCTGAGGGATCGACCCGGACACATTAGTGTTGTACACGTACAACTTGCTCAAGTTCCTCAGAGCGAAAATGCTGCCCGGGATCTCTCCTGTCAGTAGATTCATCCCCAAATCCAAGTGCTCGAGAGCCTCCATATTCCCAAACGTCTCAGGGATTCCACCAAACAGGTTTGTCTGCGCCGTCGAGAAGAACCGCAGCTTCTTCAGGTTGGTGAAGTTCTGCGGTAGCTGCGACGGCACAAACTTGTCGTTGTACTCGAGCCTCAGTTCTTCGAGATCAGAGAGGCCAAAAATCTCTTTAGGGTAAGTGCCATTGTACTCGGACTGGTAAAGGTGAAGGATCCTCAGCCTCCGCAGGCTCGCGATCGACGCTGGGACGTTGAATGAGAAGCTGTTGGCGGCGAGAATCAGGACCTGAAGATTAGCCATGTGGTCGATATCAGATGGAATAGGACCTTCGAAGTAATTCTGGGACAGGTCGAGGTACACGAGCTTGGAACAGTTGTAGAGAGCCGTGGGAAACTCTCCAGGAATGTTGTTGCAGGAGACGTCGAGCTTGGTCAGGTTCTCGAGGTCGCAGATGAATGGGGGGATCGCATAACTTATGCTCAGGTTGAAGAGGTTGAGCTCGGTGATCGAGCCGTCTTGGCAGGTGATCTCAGGCCATGCGCAGTGGGAGGATGAATTGGAGGCGACCCAGTGGGCGAGGGAAGATGGGTCTTGCCAGGATTGCCTGAGCTTCAACAGGACTTGCTGCTCTTGGTCTTGGATTTGAGACTCGGCAACATGGAAGAGGGAGCAGAGGAAGACGAGACAGGGGATGCAGAAGAAGAAGAATTGAATACGAGGAGGTGATGAGGTTAGTCTCGGCATAATTGAAGGTCGTTCAGAGTCTTTTTCTGGTTAGACACTCTCCGGTGTTCGAGCTAGAGATTTATCAGCTCGACATGAAGCAAAACGTGACAGTTTGCTTTGTTTATTGCTCGGCAGAGCCCCAAGGTTTTTAACCTCGTTTCAAAGTGCTAGAATTTGGCGGGTCCTAAGATGATGGGTGTGGAACGAATTTGTTCCTTCTTGTTCTTTTCCATTTTGCTCCCTTAATGTCTCATCTCTGTCAACGGATGAAAGAGGGAAGAGTCAAAGAGACGACGTTATGAATTATGGCAGAGATCGAAATTTGACGGACTTTATTGGGTGGCCAATCTTGGCTTATGCCGATATATATTCCGAGCAACACAGCTTCCACATTTCAATTTCTACTCTCCTCAGACCCTTGATATGGTAAGGTTAGCATTATAGTTACCTCTATCGAATATATGTATGTTCACATTTATGGATAGTGACCTATCTCGGTCCACTCCTTTTCGTTTCAAGAAGGAAAAAGAAGGTGCAGTTACGGAATAGTAATTATTACAACGTATGCTATGGGATCAACAAGAATTATTTAGAGTCATAGATAAACTGAAAAGTTCGATGTATATCATTCCGTTGAATTTCCACGTTCGTTGGACATTTAGATTTCTCAAGACATTTAAGGGAAATTATAAGAACCCTCTACTGAATCCCATCGAAAAAAACTCATGCTTTCGTGCAATTATTATGCTGTAATTGATTTTACCCGTTGCATCAATTGTAAGTAAAGTCTATACAATATTTTTATGATAAATACCCGTCTCTCGTCTTGCCCTAAGCACAAGCGTATAACATCGATCACCTATAGAGATAGGTATGCCACCACGTTATCTGTTGACCCTGCGAAAACCTTCAAAAACGGGGGGTACGTGGTTACCTGACCTACACACGCCATAGGAAATTCAAGGGAACAAGTAGAAGCCCTCCAACGTTGAACGTTGAACGTTGACCGGAGACTTTTTATTTTTTTTTGGGGAGTAGGTTGGAATAAAGAGATTGGAACATGTGAAGCAAGCAAGATGCAGGACGATTTCGGTTTGATTTCGCTACCTCGCGCTTTGAATTAGATTTAGCTTACCATGACTTGTAGGATGTGGGCTTTCCAGAGAATCAATCAGTTAGGATTGATTTAAGTATAATTATTCATCTCTTACGAAAAAAAATATTTCTAATTATTCATTGCCTACTCTTAAAGTTTTAATTTAAGATAAAGGAATCGGTATGTTTGCACAAAAAGGTAATTAAGTCGTCGACATGGATGAACACGTGACCTGAGCGTGGAGGATAATTGAGCATGTGATGTCGTTGATGATCACATCGGTGACCATTACTGAGTATTTGTCGATATACGATGGCGAATGGTTAACGATAGTCGATTGCCCTCACTATCGTGGAGTAGTTATAGATTTGAAGTCATAGAAGAGTCGAGGAATGAAGGTCGTGGAGCAAGCAGCATACGATTTTAAAGGAACAACCGTTTGGGAATAAGATCATGGCATGATGAGAGTATGTGTACAAAATTTTTGGAAATAAAAGAACATGGCTACAACCGCTGGAGAATTGCTTAGAGACGATTATGGCACAACCACTATAAAAATCGTCGCTCATCTACTGGAGACCCCTCCTCCCCCACATCATTAAAATATGTCTCGAATTTGAATCCGTAAACAAAACCCGATTCAAAATTAATTATTAATTGTGGAGGTTTGAATATTTGGAATTGTATATTTCGTGGACGTTCGAAATCGAGCGAAGCAAAATTACGAATTTCAGAATTTAAAATAATAAAAGAATCCACAACCGAGTTCGGATATTAGCTTTCCTAAGGTGTGTTGAGGTCTTCGGCCACTGAGGTTCGAAAGTGAACTTTCGGTCAAATTGGAATTTCCTGCACATTGACTGTAATTGTTCCTTCCTTGTTGATATCTCTCGTTAGACTTCACGTTGGAAACGGAAAGTAGACAGAAAAAAAATGTTCTTTCCTATTTTCTATTGAAGTCACGGTCAAATTTGGAAAGTTTATCATTGACTTGAACTGGAGCATTATTTGGTCAACTTGAATATATAGATATATATTTGGTTGCTGAGTTTTTTAGCCGCATGTTGATCAACGCATGCATTGAATACTTGAAGCGCCGCTCGTTTGTGAATGCTTGGTGTGTGAAGACGTGCAAAGGGAACTCGTGAATTGTATTCATAAGTCAGTATTCGGGCTATAAAATCTTGTGTTAAGATTTATGTGTAATTCTTTCGTGAGATTGAGAGATTATTTGGTGAGAAATTATAAAGTTAGACACTATTTGATTTATTGGGTGGAATTGGGGCTTGTGAAACATTTAAAGTGTTGGAGTGACTCGAGTGTATTTATAATATCCTCTGTATCGCTTGATTTATAGTGGAATTCGTTGCTGCTCTTCCTTTGGACGTAGATCACTATGACCGAAATACGTAAATCTGATGTCCGATTTATTTTTTTATTTGTCTATTTTATTGTTCGATGGCTTGCTTCCGCAACACATACAAACAAAACAAATATGTAATATTTCAATTATCTTTACTTTCTTGTATTGTATTTTTAGTTTTCAGACTCGCGTTATTTATTAAATTCCGGCATGTTTCTTAGCTCTAGTCCCTAGATTCATGTCGTCAATTAAATTTTACCGTAGCATCTTCATGTTATCAAGGTTTGTCGACAATTAAATTCCAACATAATTTGTTTGCGCTTTGTTCTATTGAAGTGACTGTATTCTTCAAACCTTATCGTAGATTGCATTACGGCACAGATTATGTTTGTATAGTGTCATTCAAAGTGAAGTTATCGATTTCCTTATCTACTTTTACAAGACATAGCTTTATTTTAGTCGCCACCAATTATTTTACAAAACGGGTCGAAGTGATCTCTTATAAACATTACTCAAAAACTGTAAAACAGTTCATAGAAATACATACTATACATCAATTCGGCATATCTGAAACTATAACTGCCGATCAAGGAACTGTTTTTACTGGTCGAGAGGTGCTGGACTTCACAAAATCAAGAGGTATTAAAATGATACACTCAACACCCTATTATGCTTAGCAGAACCCAAGATTTCTAACCCTGTTTTAAAGTCTAAAGTTTGGTGGGTCGTGAGCTCATCTCAGTCAACGGATGAAAGGGGGAAGAGTCAAACAGCCAATGATATTCAATTTATCTTGATATTGCTCCGGAATACGCTTACATAACACCAAGATACCTTCGATTCCTGTGGTCTATAACCAATGCAAGCAGGCAAAATCAGAATTTTCAGATCAGTTTAACAGCCCATCATTTGTTAAGCGAGAAAACTACAAGTTTGCTCCTCCGCAGAAGGCAAAAATCTTGCTAGTTTAACATGTTACTCCTTTTAGAAGCATTCTCGTAATAATGAAAAATTATTCTGTAAATTTAATACATATGCTGAATTGAATATGGACCGACAAATTTTATTAGATGGACAATCTTAGCTATGCCGATGTCTAATCCAAGCAACAAATAGTTTCCATATATCAATTTCGACTCTCCTCAAAGCCTGTGATGACGCTAGCTTTAGAATTACATGTATCGCATATTTGTGTATTTTAAATTATGGATAGTGACCTATATTGGTGCGCTCTTTCTCAATTCCAGAAAAAAAAAATTAGTATAGTTGCGTATCAATAACCATCGGAACCTGTGCTATTAGATCAACACGAGTTTTTGAGCGTCATAGATGAATTTAAGAGTTCGTTATATTATTCAATTGAATATACACAATATTTAGATTTCTTAAAAAAGACAAAACAAAAAATCGTGAGAACTCCACACCATGTCCTATTGCAAAAACACAAGTTTTCTTAGAATTATTATTGTTGTGATTGGTTTTTTCAGTCGCAATCACTTACAACTTACAAGCTAAATCTACCCAAAATTGGGAAAAGTACCAAAAAAGTCATAAACCTATTACATTGGTACCAATTCAGTTATAAACTTTTCAATTGGACTAATTTAGTTTTAAATTTTTTTTACATTGGTACCAATTTAGTCCACCCGGCCAATTTAGGCCGGAAATCGCTGATGCGGACGCCGGCGGTCCTACGTGGCACCGCTGGTGCTGACGTGGACAAAATTGATAATTTTTTAATAATTTTTTCAGATTTTTTAAAATATTTTTTCCTTTTTTTTTTTCTCTTTTCTTTTCCTTCTTTTTTCTTTTTCTAGAAATTAACAGCCATAGACGAGGGCCCTTGTGCCCTCGCCGGCCACGGGCAAGGGCGTCGGTCCTCACTTGGTCTGGGCTAGGGTGTCGCCCCCTCGCCTGGATTTGGGCGACGGTTTCGACCCTCGCCTGGATCTGGCGGAGGGCGTTGGCCCTTGCCCATGGCTGGTGAGGGCACGGCAGCCCTTGCCTAGACTAGGTGAGGGTCGCTGGCCCTCGCCTGTGGCCGTCAGTTTCTAAAAGAAGAAAAAAGAAGGAAAGAAAAGTGAAAAAAAGAAAAAAAATTTGAAAAATTATTAAAAAATTATAAATTTTGTCCACGTCAGTGCTGGTGGTGTCACGTGAACGCCAGCGATTTTCTGCCTAAATTGGCCGAATGAACTGAATTTGTACCAATGTAAAAAAGTTTAGGACTAAATTGGTCTAATTGAAAAATTTAGAACTGAATTGGTACTAATGTAACAGATTTAGAACTTTTTTGGTACTTTTCCCATTCAAAATTTCCACAGACACATGCCGTTCGTTCACACGACTTCGTGGGAATTCAGGAAAACAACTAGAAGCTCTCCAATGTTTTGAACGTAGACTAGTCTCTATTGTTCTTTCTTTTCTGTAGGTTTGGTGGGCTCTTGCCCCACCCCTTTCATGGAGGACCTTGGCTTGCTTTTCCTCCCCTCGCGCTATGAAGTAGGTTAGCTAACAGCAGCTTCGCCTTTTATGAAGTAGATCTGCACGTTGTGTGCTTTCCATATAATCAACCAATGAAGATTAATCTAATAAGAGTATTCATTGCCCACTCTCATTATCTACTTCTGAAATTTTAATTTAAAATTTAAGATAAGCGACTTGCAATTTTAAAATTGAAAATAAAATACATTGAGCTACTCGCGGTGACGCAGCGTTCAGCGAGTAATTCAAGCAAAACCTTGCTTAGAGAGAAATCCCGAAATTCAATATTGATG